ATAAAATTTAAAAAAAAAAAAAAAAAGACGACAATTAGATTGAATTAATTTCCACTAAAAAAGAGAATAATTGGTCAAAAGTGCATAATACCGCCGAATTGTATGACATTTGAAGTCACTTAGTTCCCATTTGCATCATGTAAGTACCTTGAATAATTGAAGAAATAATATACAGTACGAAACTTTTTAATATTATAATTGCATTTTTACCTTTAACCTACTTATTTTTTAAGTTATTTATTCCACCTTTTATAGGTTGTTAGCTTTAGTTATTTTTTGAAAGATCTGATATACAGTGTTGAAGTCAGAATTTTTTTCAAGGGTGTTCAAACTTAAAAGAAGTAAAAAAATATTTCTGACAAAGGGTGTTCAAACTTAAAAGAAGTAAAAAAATATTTCTGACAAAGGGTGTTCAAACTTAAAAGAAGTAAAAAAATATTTCTGACAAAGGGTGTTCAAAATATATTATATATCTTAAAAACCTAATATTTTACCTGTATACACAGTATAAATTTTCGACGAACGGTGATCAATTGACCATCTTTTAAGACATGTGACTTCTCCCCTGCTGATATATAAAAATTATTCTCTAACGTACTTAAGAGTATGATCTAGTAGTCAATGAAGTGGGTTAAGAACCATAAATCGCATATTCGAAGCCCAACGAAGACAAAAACGCTAGGTGATCTCTTCTCATCTGTCTAAGCTTTGACGGACAGAGTTTCCCAATACTTGTGTTGGTAGCAAATATTTTGTGAAATTAATCGAGATACACATAAATGTACTCTAACACATCACTATATAGATTAGAGGCGTACATAGGCCTGGTTGGTTCGGATTTTACAATTACCAAACCAAACCAATTGTGTCGGATTATTAAATCTAAAGACGAAACTAAACCAATAAAACTCGGATTTTTCGCTTTCGTGTTTTCTCGGGTTCTTCAGATTTTTTCGGATTTTTTTTCCGGTAAAATCTTTATAGAACAAAACATATAAATTGTGGTCAAAATATTTCTTTAGTCCTAGTAAGATACAACTATATAAAGTATTTTCCAAGAAAATGATACAAAATATGAGATATGTCATGGCATTATCCTAAAATATTCAACAATAAAGACAATAAAATTATGTAATATAAATATTTCTAGTTAAAAAGTCATAATAAAAATAAACATAATCTAAAAGTACTAAATCATGCTAAAATAAGTAAACTAATAAGGGAGTATTAATTATATGACTAAACGTTAAAGAAAAAATAAAAATAGGTTAAGCATTTTTATTTAAATTATTGCAAAACAAAAAATAGATATTTAATACATTCTCGTTCGTAGTATTGAATTGAATGTATTTTATTAGCATTAATATTGATTTGATTTTGGTTTGGGCTTTTATTAGTACTATTTAATTTACTAATATTAATGACTATAAAACTTATTGGAACATTCAAAAGTTCTAAGTCTAACCTTGAAATAATACATCAAAAGATAAAATTATGAAATCTTTTAAGAAATATTTATAAATTACATCACAATAAGTATATTTATATATAAAATATATCTAACATTTCTATATATGTAATGTCGGATTGGTTTGGTTTCGGTTTGACTTTCTTTAGTTAAAACTAAACAAAACCAACTATGGTTGGGTTTTTATTTCTAACACAAAACCAAATCAAACCAAACCATAGTTAGATTTTTTTTCTCGGTTTGACTCAGATTATCGAATTGATGCGGTTTGTCGGTTTCATTTGTACACCCATAATATAGATTTATATTAATAATTGAATTTGCTGTTGACAAGTGAATGCTTATCTATGTGTCAACAAGTCACATCTCACTTGTTGGATCCCTCATTTCACAACTACTTTAATTAATTGTGTGAAATGCTTTTAAATCTCAACTAATTGCTGCCCATTCATCCTACTTTTTATGTGCATGTAACATGTGAATATAAATATAAGTTTACTGAATTTTTCTGAAAAAGATATGTGCAAAAGTGATCTTTTTCACACGAGAAGAACACTACTTTTTTGCCTCGAATAAACCTTTTTTTTAAAAAAAAAAATCATCTTAATTTTCTTGTCCAATCAATTTCTTTTAATGTCATAATTTATTAATTTACATTGCTATAACCTAACAATATACACACAATTCTTATATGTAACTACGAAAATTTTTATTTTGTCATTGAAGGGTGTTATAATTTCTACCTTTTCTTCCTTTTTCTTGTCATTGNGGGGAGGGGGTGTATGATTTGCATATTCATTAGTTACTTGTAATTTTCATAAGGTTAATAGCCAAATAATACTTGTACTTGTTCCGTTTTGACATCACGCTCCCCTATTACCCGACTTTCATCCAAACATTGGAACTTGATTAAGGGAGGTGAATTTATAATGTCAAAACGGAACAAATATTTTCTGACATTTTAATAATAGTAAAAAATTTGTGTTATTAGAAACAAAACTCAGCAATTTATTGAATATTGAAATGACAATTTATTTATTTTTTATTTTGTTTTGCAGTTGTTCATGGTCCTAATGGATCGCCGTTTCCGACGTCGGAATATGAACATTCATCGATTCCGGCGACGGTGAAGAAGATATTTGATTTGCCATCACCTTTTCTTACTAAAAGGGATGAATGGGCTGCCACTTTTGAACACATTCTACAAACTAGGAAGGAGCCCAGAACTGATTGCCCTGGTTAGTCATCTCAACTTCAAATACTTTACATTGACATTTAATTTCCAAAAATAAAAAAATAAAAAAAAAATAACAACATTAAGATAAGATAGATTGTGTACAAGAGAGAAGTATTTAATTCTGTGGTGGATATAGTATGTCAGCACCACATGATGTGTGTGTTAAGCGTACGTCACTTGTTCGAATCTTGTTGCTGACAAAGTATGGTACTTAAGTTGGGAGGAGGGAAGAGGGACAAGTACTTATCACCAACCACCAATTATAAAACTAGTGGTGGAGCTAGGATTTTTATTAAGGGGCGTCAAAATATATAATAGTAACCATATCGATTAAGGGGAGTCAATATATAGTATATATGCATATAAAAAAAAAATTACCTACCTACACAGTATATTTTTCCGACAATGGGGTGTCAGTTGACAACCCTTGCTATAAGATAGCTCTGCCATTGTGTGAAACTAGGTGGATGCTAAAGGGGGTTCACTTGAATCCCCTTCGTGGGAAGATCATATTGTGAAAGCAAATAGGAAATGTCAAATTTGTTTATTTATATATAAATTGTTGAATCTCCTTACATAAGAGAAGAGAAGGTCTTAGTATAATGTCAAAGAGGTTCAAAATTTATTGTAATAATGATTGCCTATCTTCGAACGGGTTTAGAAATATACATGGACTATTAAAAAGGAGTGAATATCTGCTCCGCATATCTAACTCAGTCTCCCAAGTAGCTTCCTTACTCGTTTGCCCTTTCCAAAGCACCTTTCATATAACCTTTGCCTTGTCTTATAACAAAAATCTTGGCTCCTCAACATTATATAACCTAACTTTGTGTTCTCTTTGAAATTTTCCACAGATAAACTTCCAACTCCAACAAAGATCAGAAAAGCAGAAGCAAATGAAGATGCAAACATTAGTGAATTCCAACAAGAATTAGTGCAACTCGCAGCGGTTCTAAAAGGTGATCATCTCCTAACAAGTTACCCAGAAAAGATAGGCAAGAAAATGACTGTAAGAGAAGGGAAAGCTTATATGGAAGACGCCGTAAAACGCTTCTTTGAAGCTGGATTTTCTGCCAAGAAAATTGGTGTTGATGAAGAGCAGATTGTGCAAATGAGGCCTTCTCTCACTACAAGATCATCTACTAATTTGCACCCTTAAAGATGTAACAAACGAAATGTACAAATACACTAAGACATGGTAATTATATGGTAAAAAGCTGCATTATATAAATCCTGTTACAATTATGAGTGTTGAAGCTTATGTTACTCGGACTCTTTGAAAATATCACTAGGTGCGTGTCGGATCCACCAATATTTTAAAGATCCAACACGGGTATAGCAGTCCCCGCAACATAGGATGAAAGTGCCTACTTCAAGTTCCAACTAATGCTGGAATCATAGGAGAAGCAACGCTTCTGTTTATTGCTATTTACTAACATCTTCAACAGCCAAATTGTGTACAAAATGTCTGAATATTGAAGCCAAAAACAAGGCCATTTGGTTAATAGAATGAATGTATAAAGACGAATACAGAGCCTCCAGAAATGCAGACACCAAACGTATAACCAACATTAATGTGTGAATAGTCGTCTCCAAACTGTTTGTTCCTAGAGGAAAACACGCTTCTTTGGTAGCCGCTTAGGGAAACTTCTGCACTTGATAACACACGGTTCATCATTTCTATCCTTTCATTAGTTCCTCAATTCCTCCGCAATCTTGTTACCCTCACTTAGGGAGCAGCTGATTGATTGCAAAAAGATACCCACCTACAACCACAAAGGACGCGAGTCCACTGCGTGCCATCCTCAATCCCAAGCCACGAAATAAGATATTCCTATCCGCAGGGTGGATCCCGGTCCATCTCTCAAATCTCTTCCCAGGTAGTTGCCATTTAAGAAACCTTCTCTCCATGGATACAAACTGCACATAAAGAGTAAGGAAGAGGATAATCCACAAGGCCTGCACCTATTGGGAAAAAGAGAACACCAAATGTTCTCACAAATACCATAATAACAACCAAGAAACACATGTTTTATACATCTAATAACATTGAAAACCCGAGGACAACAGGTCAAAAGTTGCTGAAGCATTTACTTGGTACGATTATAGCCTCTACATGTAACAGATGCTCCAATTATATGGTTGCACATACACATTCTCATCTACTCTACCCCCAAACCAACAACCACCAATACTAACCCCATACACAATGCATGTTATCCTAAGGGGGGAATGGGTACAAAAAGCTCACCAACAAGAGATATAATTTGCAAAAGACCTATCAAAGTCTCATGATTTTGCACCGGGGCCGTAATTGCCACATAATGAACAAAAATGTTCATCACTAACTAATGAATTCATGCACAAACCACAAATCCTGGCAGAGTAGCAGCATTTGAGAAAAACTATACAACAATAACTCCCACAAGTGGGGTCTTGGGAGGGTAGTGTGTACGCAGAGCTTACCCCTACCCGGAGGAGTAGAGAGGTTGTTTCCGATAGACCCTCGGCTCAATAAGACGAAAAGAGATAATATTTGAGAAAAACTATACACCCACCAAATACAGATGACTTAGAAATTACTTCAGGCCTGAATAGAGCGAAACGAATACAGGGCATTCATATAGCCAACCTTCATCTAGTTGTGGATTAAGTTGTAACTGATTGACTACTGTTGGCACTGTACAACCTCCCCACCCCCCCAAATGGAATTGACCAGTTTTAAAAGTACTTCAACCAACTCTAAGGCCAATAGGTTGAATTGACCATAGAAGCTTGCCCGACACACCAACTCATCCCACAGCATGGATATGCCCAACTCAAGGATTTTTTATGATGCTTAACTTTACAAATATGTAATATACTAGCAATTAGTAAGCTATCAAATACTTGTAACATATTCTGCCACATGAACTGACCACCCAAGATCATCTTTGAGCATTTAGGTATTTGGGTAGATATTTCATATAGCAGAATATCATGCAGGTGATCAAATACAGATGATTGAAACCTGGTCAGGCAACATACCTTGGGCAGAACAATGCATTGCGAACGAGATTTAGCAGTATCAAAACCGTGAGAAGCAGCAGCAGCAAGTGAACCAGAGAATCCAGCCGCAAGACTAACAGCTAAAGGAGACAATGGGCCAATTTCTTCATCAGATCTGAATGAAAACAAGTCTCGATGATCAAAGTTATTTAAAACTGAATTGGGCAAGTGACAAGATAGACACTTGGCAACTGACCTGGAAACAAAACTGTTATCCCTTCACCTACTTTCCTCCCTATTGAATTGTTCAAAATAGTCTCTAATTCATTTCAATTTATGCTATTTTTTCCAGCATATTACATATGTATTAACTTCATTTCTTTTCTTTTTCACTTTTTCCCTGTATTACAATGCTGCAAAAACCTTAATAGTCTAATGCACATTGATTTATGGATATTCTTCAAATTTATAACATGGGGTAGATTTCTTAATATGGGGTTTGATTGAAACTTCCATAAAGTAATAGGTAACAATCTAGCTTTTTGTTTCTTAGACAACATCATATCCAAACCATTTCTGGAAAAAGATAGTCATCCAAGCACGCACTTTTTTCCAAATAACTTGTTTTTGGAGAAATATTAATTTTTCTTCAAAGAACATCTCCAGAAAACATCAAACACCAGAATTTAAAACCAGGACAAGAACAAAAGTATTAAACGCGTTAACATAAGAATTGAAGCAATACCTAGGTGGGGGATTCATCCCAACTGCTTTCCATTCAAGCATTGCTTGATGCAGGAATTGCCACGTTGAAAAGAATATCCCGCCAAACACACAATCCCGAGCAAGTCCAGATCTCATCCCTCTCCATAAAGCACCCCATCCTTCCAAAGAGATGATGTCTAACGGCCTCTTAACATCAGATATAGATGGGGGTCTCCCAGACCCTGTCATCATCCATGGATAATCTTTTAACGCAGTGACCAAATTGGGATGCTTGGTGGGAAGAGTGGTTAAAAGACCAACTGTGTTGTTCAATCCCCTAATATCTGGGGAATGTCTAGGCAACAACTTTGCCATTAAAGGCGAAACAGCAGTCTTTTCAACAACTGACATGGAGCTGGGAATTCGGGAGGCAGAAGTAACCTGAGCACGGAGTTTAACAAGTTCAAATGGAGAACTTATTAGTGATTCCACTGCTCCAGAAGCAATTCCGGCCAACAGGGCCTCAGAGACATGGACATAGTTGTCTTCTCGACCATCTGATTAAGAAGGGTTGCAGATGAAGACACAATATGTTATATAACGAGGAACGAAGCAAACGATACTCAAAAGTCAGAACTATTCAATTCATTCATATAACACCGTAGTGCATCACTTCCAATATTTCCTTTTTTCCACTGCTATAAATAGTTTCAGTGAACAAGACATTCTTCTCTCGTCCCAATTAAGCTTGTTCAGCTATCGATGGCCAATTTGACCAATTTTTTGTCCAATTTCGATCATTATTCAACCTTTTCTTTTATAATATTTATAACATAGAAACTATGTGAATATATTAGTGATAGGAAAAACTTTAAATTTCACAATTCTAATCATAGAGTTGAGAAAATGATAGTTAAAGAAATCTTATATTACTCCAAAAGTAATGGTGTTTTCTTATTACTTGTTGACCCAGAGAAACTAGTGAAAAAAGTTTAAGATATTCCCCAAGACGAACTGAGTTCGGCATTTATTAAAACCATTTGTTTTGGAATATGGTAAAGTAGCTCCTAGCTGGGGAACTATTCCTTTGGAATATATTTTGATTTTTGGGTGATCCTTTCCTATATGTTTTCTCTAATGGAGTGAACATTCTAGAACTTCCATTGTAAGATAAGCATCTAAAACAACAGATTCATGCAAAAATCCTACATTCTCTAGGTTTGGATTCTCTGGTCAGAAGACTGGCAATGAATTGTAATAAGTTAAGCAACAGAAGAATATCATACCTTTGTAGAATGCAGTCAACATTTCATAAACACCAAAGCGAGCTCCCAAACCCAATGATCTTCCAAGTGTCAACCACCCCACACCACTATACAAGCCTCCAATGTTCATAAAAGATTAAAAAAAATATATAAGCAAGATATCCATATAAACAGCTGTCACTACGATAAATGAACTTTTTTGCATTGGTCAGAAATTTTATTAGGCCTATAAAGCATTTCTCTTAGGCAAAACGGCTTTGTGGCCACTTAAACTTGCACCAGTTTGTCATCCCGGTATATCCCATTTTAACACTTTTACTTGACAGAAAGTATTAATAAACACCTTTGACCATTGACTATGCGTATGTGGCTGAAACATAGCTTATGTGGGCAAAATGCGTGCAAGTCACGGTTATATGGCGCGTCCATATGTTGATTTTCATTTAAAAAACAGTTAAATCAGAGAAAATACAAAATAGAAAGAATTTTTTTAAAAAAAACCTATCACGTCCTCCACCCCCTCCTCCTCCTCTTCCAACTTTGTCCCCCATTATTTCCGTCCCATCTTCTCCCCCAATTCCCCCTTTCTCTTGTTCGCTCTTCTTTAATTTCGATTCTCACTTTCTTGTTCTTCTTTCCTTCCCTTCTCCCCCTTTTCTCCTCCATTAATGAAGATAAAAAGATGGATCCCCTTTTATGTGAAGTAAGGAAGAGCACGAGCTATGGCGAAAAGGAAGAGAAAGGAAAAAAATAAAAAATTGACCTTTTCAGGTCATTCTTTTGATACTGGTGACATTCAAACCAATGATGGAGCCAAAACTTTAATGGGTTGTTATTTTGCTTTAAAATGATTTTTTTTTCACTTTCAAACCAATGTTCATTGACAATGGAATTCCGGCGAGTTCTAAACATTTTACTAATTCCGACAGTGGTGTTTGGAGACAGGAGAATATAGGGGTGGAGGGTACTCTTTCGCATCTTTAGTGCCATGGTGATATTGTGAGATGGCGTTGAATAATTACTGCTGGTGTGTTTGTCCCAAAAAATCATACCCAAGAAATAATGAAGAGTAGGGGCCAGAGGAATGTGAAATTTTTTCTGTGAATTGGAAAATGATCGTCCTTTCTAGCGTTTAGTGCTATCAAGAGGAAGGGAGTCCAGCTGAAGAGGCTGAAGAATGGTGGTGTTTATGGTGGATTAAATTTGTAGTGGTGGTCGCCACCCTTGTGAAGATGAAGAGAAAAGGAAAAGATTTTAGATTTTTTAATAAGTTGGTAAAATTAGATTGGGACCCACAAATTACACATG